GCTTAGAGTAAGGGCAAAATAAAGCAGGGCTGGGACAGAGTAATGAGGAAGCTAGCTGATGGGGTAGCAAGGAAGGCATCCTGACACAGGACAGAGGCTTGAAGGAAATGAGGGAAGCAATTATGTGACTGTGCCACTCATCATTAGGATACCTTGCCTGCTTGTTAGCCGCATCCTCTTGGTTCTTAGTCACACTTCTTTATAAGGGAACTGAATGATTTATACTTCTATGACTTAGCACACCAGATTTGAAAGTCCAGGGAGTGCCTACAGTTCATGTGTCTTTAAATAGCCTTAACTGATTCCACAGTTCCCATTAACTTAGGACCTTTTGGATGCTTTCTTGTCAGGCCTGTAAACGAACTTGTAATTAGAAGTGCTTTGAAGTGAGCCTAGGAGATGGCTCAGTGGGTAAGGATGCTCGCTGAGTGAGCCTGACGACCCGAGTTTCTCTGAACTCACATAAAGGTAGTCGAGAACAGATTTCACAGTGTCCTCTGAGTTCCACATTCACTTCCTGGGACCAGACTCTCACACCCAGTCCATCATATACACATACATCAGAAATAAATTTAAGTTTTTAAGAAAAACATCATCTGGAAGACCTAATCAGAAGAAAGCACCTATGATGTGAAAGTTGATATGAATATTGAAGTTGAGAAAAAATGGTTTGACTCCATCACTGTATGTGTGGACTTCAACATGTCACCAATAGTACTCTGTTTATGTTTAAACAACAAACAAACAAACAAACAAACAAAAGACAATGTTTCAATCACATGGTTAGGAAAATCAAATGAAGTAATACATATGAAAAATGTTTGGAATAGTCCAGAAGACCAATCCATGCTAACTGACCTTTTAGTTTATAGAGGCTTGAAATATCCTAAAAAGATAATGAGCACTAGTTAGTTCTTGGGATAAAAGAATTCTTAAACATACAGCATTTTACTAAAAGAGAATAAGGAATTTATGTTGCCAGGGGTGATGGCACACAGTCTCAGTTCTCAGGAACCAGATAGAGGACTAGACTGGGCTACTCACTGAGTCTATCTCAACAACAACAAAAAGGGAAGAAGCTTGGCCTGTTGGCAAAAGTCTGTAATGCCACCTACTTGGGAGAGGCTGACACAGAGCAGTGAAAATTTAAGGCCAGCTTGGACTACAGAGTGAGTTCAAGGCCAGCCTGGGTAACTTAGTGAGACCCTGTCTTAGAATAAAGGGTAAAAAGAGGGTAGTGAATAGCTCAATGGTAGAACACTTGTCTAGCATATGACAAAGAAAATGAAAGAAAAAAAATATATCAATGTGATATTTTATCACTCTAATGATCAGCAACGTTGAATGCTGGGTTCTACAATCTATTCCATACATGCTACATGAAAGTCATTATTCTTCACTGTAACCAAATAAAACAATATTATTTCCCCATCTAACTCATGAGAAAAGTGAGGCACAAACTGACTAAAATGTCCATCTGTGGTCAACACAGTTAGCAGCAGAATTTGTAGTATAAGAGCTGACACCACCTTAGACATTCTTAGCTATATAATCAATTCCTAAGATTATTTTTCATATAGAAGATAGCATCTTGAATCTTTCCTGAAGGAAAATTACCAAAATAAAAGTAGAACATAAATTACAGTACAGGCAGTCACACCTCGAGGGAGAGTGAGAACGAAGTGTAACTAGAAGTTGGCTTAGAGTATCTGTAGATCCTATTCAGCTTACAATATTGAGGTCATTTATTTGATTACACAACTTCATATCTTTTTGTCTCAAAGTCTGCTTCATAATTATCAAGAGCTATGGATGTCTAACGTTCTAAAGCTTGCTTACGTAAAAACAAACAAAATCCTGGACAGTGAGATGGAATAATTTTATATAGATCATAGCAGATGTGATTAGTTTGAACCATCATTAAACAATCTAAGAAAACAATGACTTCAGGGAACTAAAATTCAGACAAAGTATACAACAGAAACAACTGATGTAGTCTCTTGAATTATTTGAAGTCTCAACATGAGTTAAAGCTATGAAGATCTGTAACACACCAGTCTGGGGAATATATTGTATTGAGAAGATGTCATTATTTACTAATGCTTAGTAGCATTCAATCAGGCCAGGGTTATAAGGAATAGTGATAGTGACACCATGCTGGACCAAAGCAGTTGTTTATGATCTGGATGACCCATCATGTAGGACAGCATTTCAACATCATCTCTCGCTCATAAGCCTGGTTTAAAGTTAAGCTTTTTCCCCCTAAGTATGAGCCTGGCTATGGTAGCAAGGTAGCACAGCTGCCTTTCTTTTAGTGCTAGCTTCTTTGGAGGACTGGATGGGAGGATCCTTTATGAGTGTATGAGTTCAAGACCATCTTGCACAACATAGTAAGACTTTGGCTCCACAAATAAATGAATAAATAAGCAAAACAAAAGCTATTACATACAGATAAATATAATGTATAAAACCTTGTCACTACATAGTTGACAAGATGAAATTGTAGTGTTGACACCAGGCAAACACATCTGAAATATTACAAATATGCAATAAATCATATACAAATATGGAGATTGATTAAGCTATAAAGAACGAAGCATACATAAGTACTATAAAAGCACAAGTCTTTGCGGGGGAGGAGCACTGGGAACTGAATCCAGTCATAAGCAAACTAAGGGAACATTCTATCTCTGAGCTACACCCCTAGCCCAAAATGTGAGTTTTCACTGACAACAGAGGGGGAAGGTTGAAAAAAACAACACAAATGAAAACTATTTAAAACAAAAGTTTTATATTAGTGGCTTTCAGGCTCACCAGGATATTTTCTTGCCAACAGATTGATTTTTGCTGTAATCTTGCAGCTTAATAAAACAGGATATTTATGCTGTCTTTCTTTGGATAAAGATTCTCATGTTGCCTTGGCTGGCCTGGAACTTGCCATGTAGCTGAATTTGAACTCCTGATCTTCCAGCATGCTGGGTTTATGTGGTGTTTGGGGATCTAAAGTAGGGCTTCCAGCCCGCTAGATGAGCACTCTATCAACTGCACTATAACCTCAGCACTCTGTCTTTTCACAGAAATTAACCAGATCTCACTTTACAAACAACAGGAAAAAAAAGATCAACTGTAATTACTTTGGATAGTGTAATAGATTTGTATATAGACATTCATCTCTCTGTTTAGTTTGCTGAACTGTATCAACTTTAGAATCTACTGATGCTGACTAAACAAAAGCTTTCATTTAAATCACTTCTGCCATCCTGGTAAACAAAATCATGAACAGGCATTGGCTTTTGAGTTCTTATAACAGCCTCAATTATGTGTTAGTCAACCCAAGCATCCATTATGTACTCAATAATAGCTATGACACAGTTCTGGACAACAGCAACACCATAAAGAGGCAGGCACAGAGGTAGCCTGCTTGTATTGCTTTTCCTGGTGATAACATTCTTAAGCTGCGTGGAAACAGCAACAAGATCCTGTCTTCCTCATTAGAACCTTTACTCAACACTGACAAACGACGGCCCAGTAACTTAGAAGAAAATGCAGCACGCCAGTATGGGGATAAATTTCTGTTAGAGGTTGTTTTTAAGATCATTTCCTGAAAATACGGCTTCTTGTTGTGAACAGCTACATTTGTAAAGAAAGAAAAAGTCTTGAAACTTTCAAACTGCATTGGTGTACATGGCAACTGTTAAGGGTTGAGGACATTGGTCAGTTGGTAGAGTGCTTTCCTAGCACTTAGGAAGCCCTGAGTTCCATCCCTATTGAAGCAAAATCGAGCCCCCTCCCCCCCCCCGCTCCCACCCCCACCTCGTCACCCCACCCCGCTCCCGCACGCAGCAGTAATCCCAGTACTTGGGGATGGGAGGTGGAGACAGGAGGATCAACAGTTCAAGACCATCCTCCCTTACACTTCAAGTCCAAGGCCATCCTGGGCGAGAGGAGAACCTGTGTCAAACATTTTGTTAAAACAGCAGCGGAGGCGGAGGCAGCTGGTCCTTAGGAAGGCACGCGCTTGCTTCTAAGCATTTAGATTCCGAAGCGTTTTCAAAGCTGGTTACAGTCCTTACCACAGCACGGCCTTGTGAGGTAAGTGTATTATCATCTTTAGTTCATAAATGAAAAAGCTGAGGCACTGAGCGATTAAGTCACTCGCCTAAGGAGCATGAGTCAACGTCAAGAGTCATAGTTGACCCGGCTTAACGACTCCTGACCTTCAGTCCAGGGCTGAGTCAGCGGAGCCCCGAGTGGCTTCCCTGGCTGGCACCTGGACGTAGGCTATTTCCGTTCACGTTCAAGCAGAATACTGGAACCGATTGGACAGAACTTCCAAACTTTTTACGTCCAGCAAGATTCACCCCTGACACCTTCATCTCAGGACTGGGAACAGGAAAAGCCGACGCGTGCATTTCCCCTCCCCAAGCGTGCGAGTGGGTACCGTGGGCAAGCCTGCCCACCCGCTTGGGCAGCGATGGCAGCAAGTGACCACCCGCATTAGTGGACCCGGGGACGGGGGAACGCAGAGCGCACCAACGACTCTCCAGCGAAGCCTCTTTCTGAAACCAAGAGAAAAATGGTGGGAGGCGGAAAGAAAACCAAATAAAAACACAAGCAACTTGTCCTAGGACCTCCGCTAAGCAAATGAAACCTTCTTGCGCGTGCTGAGCCTGCAGTTCCTAGGAAAGATGGGAGGACCGGGCGACAAAGGGCACGGCAGGAATGCCCCGCAGTGAGGGCTGCCGCAGCTCCGTCCGCTGCACCGCAGAGGCCTAAAACCTACTCTGCTGCAAGCGCCCGCGGCGCCCGCAGCCGCGCTTCCTCGCCAGCGACCACGTGATCAGTCTTTTTTTTTTTTTTAAGAAAAAACTTCTTTGCCTTAAGAAAAAAAAAAAAAAAGAGAGAGAGAAAGAGAGAGACTCCACTTCCCAGAAGCCTCTCGTTCCTCACGCAGCTGCAGTCTTGCGCAGGCGCCGCCAGGGCCAAACGGACACGTCCGTCACGTGGGCAGCGGCCGGCCAATCCGGTTTGAATCTCATTTTTTTTCCTCTCGCCCCCCCTTCAGGAGCGGTTGTGCGATCAGATCGATCTAAGATGGCGACTGTGGAACCGGTGAGTGTTGCTTTCGGCCCCCACCCCCGAGGTCCCCGCGCTCCGCTCCCTCCGCTCAGGGACTCCCCGCGGGACGGCGCTCCCGGCGCGCACGCCGCCTCCGGCCGCGCCCGGCCCCTGTCCCCCGGCCTGACCTTCCGCGGGCAGCCTCGGCGCCGGGAGGCTGGCGGCGGCAGCGTGGAGCGCACACGCCGTGTGGGGGCCCGGGCACCGGGGCGGTGGGGGAGGGGCGTCGCGCGGCCCCGAGGTGCGGCCGGCGGAGGGCGGCTCGGGCCGCG